AGGGTGGGTTGTGAATACCAATCGGGACCACACATCTCAAAGACCTGCAGCTACTCTAAGACGAGTAATCTGCCTTTCTTCGTGAAGTGATGGTCCTTACAGTTATTTATTGTGGGTGACTCCCAAGCACTGCTCATTGAGGTGGTGGTGCGAGGAAGTATGCTGTACCACAGAATCAAGGATCACTGAGCAAAGGAGGAATCTGTGGCCAAAGCTTGGACCAGAGCATCATGCCTGGTGAATGTGTGGGGAGCTCCAAGTGACTGCTCTGCATGTCTTTGAGAGGGGAATTCCCTGTAAGGAAGCTAGAGATGCAGCTTGAGCTTTCATAGAATGGGACCTGACAGTTCGAGGAGGAGGGGCTTTCATGATGACACAGCAGAGGTATTCAGATTGGTTAAGGTAAAACTCAGATGGCACCTTAGGTATGAACTTAGGATGTAGGTGTAAAGAAACTTTGTCCTCGTGAAAAATAGTATAAGGTGGGTCTGACATAAGGGGTCCAAGTCCCCCTATCCTTCTGGCAGAGGTAATAGCCATCAGAAAGGCAACTTTGAAGGACAGGTGCAGGATGGAACAAGGAGCTAAAGGTTCCAAAGGTTGTCCCATGAGGGCAGAAAGGACAAGGTTGAGGTCCCAGGCAGGGATTGGTTTCAAAACTGGAGAAAATGTTCTTATGATGCCCCTTAGGAACTTTGCAGTAATGGGATGAGTAAAAACAAAGCATCCTTTCACCCGGGAGTGGAAAGTGCCAATAGCTGCCAAACCAGATGTCTTTAGCAAGAGAAAAAATGGCAGTACCAGAGTGATATCTGATGCCTGTGCACATAAATGATGCTACAGGTACCAACAAGAGAATCGTTTCCATTTTGCGAAGTAGCATTTTTGTGAAGTGGCTCACCTGCTGTTCTGGAGAATGGCTTGAACTCCCTCAGAGCAGGCTCGCTCTATCCATCAAAAAGTCTCACTGTCAAAAGTAGGGATGCTGGATTGAGTTGGCTCACCCTGCCCTCATTCCGGGACAGTAGTCCCTGAAATGGCTGCAGGAGGATGCATGGGCAAAAGACTAGTAGTTGTATGGTGGTGAACCAAAACTGCCTTGGCCACCAGGGTGCTATGAGGATCACTGTCACTCTGTCAGGTTTGATCTTCCTGAGAACCTGAGGAAGCAGAAGGGATGGGAGGTATGGCACATATCAGCGGTTTTGACAACTGTACCTGGAATCTGCCCACTCTGAGGTTGAAGCCTTTGGCAGTCCCGGAACAATAAACTGGACACTTTTTGTTGTGGTGGGTTGAAGAGATTCCAAGATGGGATGCCCTGTTGCTGGGTGAAGTTCCCATTTGTGATCCATGCGGAAATGCCTGCTGAGGCTGGCTGTCCATAAATTCATTAGCCCTGGGATGTGTACAGCTGAGAGGGTGATCCGATGCACTGGTTCTAAAGGCAGATTATGTCTTCAGACAAAGGGGGAAATCTCAGTCCTCCCTGCTTGTTTAAATAGTAGATGGTGGTCATGTTGACTGACCTGACATGGACAAGTATGAACAGAATGATGGTGTGACGGGTTTCCCCCCCCCACCTTCCAGGGTGCCACCTGATGTATTGACATACCTCTGAGCCCACCTGTTCCACCAGCCTGGGCTCCCTTACACTGTCTTGCCGAGCCAGGCCCTCAAGTCTCCTCCAGCCCACACACAGGTAGGGACACGCCCAGCTGCAGAAAGACACAGACACTGAAATCAGCTCTGCATGGGTAGGCTTCAGCTAGGGAACTGCCCAGCACTCTAGTGCACACCCCCTCTGGAGTGTAAACCCAAAATTATATCGTCTGGCGCTGCACAGAGAACTGTACAGTGTACGCTCATGACATTTGCTCCCTCCCTCAGTGTGGAGGAAGATCTGCACAGCTTTTTGTCCCCCACTTATGAATTCCACAAATTGGTTTCAGAGAAAACAAAAACAAGTTTATTAACTACAAAAATAAATTTCAAGTGATTATAAGGGTTAGCAAACAGATCAAAGTAGAGTACCCAGCAAATGAAACGAACATGCAAGCTAAGCTTAATACTAAAGAAACTGGTTACAAGTAGTAATTTCTCACCCTAAATGTTGTTTTAGACAGATTGCAGAGGTTTTTGCAGGCAAACTGCTCTTTCTTGCAGCTTAAAACTCCACGTAGTTCTTTCACAGGCCAGACACCTCTCCACCCTGGGCTCAGCTCTTCCCCCCAGCCTTGTCTTTGTTTCTTAGATGTTCCCAGTAGTCATCCTGGGTGGGGATTCAGTGAAGAACGAACGCTCATTATGTCACTCCCCTGCCTTAAATAGGTTTTACATATGGCAGGAATCCTTTGATTTTACAGTGTGGTCGGTCCCCACCCTGTCGAAAAATACTGGTATTCTATCATGGAGTCCAGTACCAGGTGACATGATCACATGACCCTGTAATGTCAAAGCAGCCATGAGTCAAAGGCTGTTTATAGCATCCCAGAAAGGTAGGAGATTAGCAACTTCAAAGATCTATTGTTCTCCCTAATGGTACATTGACTGGTCCCCAGCTAGTCAGCAGACTGATTGCATTCTGTTTGGTGGGCGTTCCCCAGGTGCAAACACTTTTGTAGTACAGATGTATAGTCAATATTCCTAACTTTAGTTACAAAAATGATACATGCATACAAATAGGATAATCCTATTCAATAAATAATAACCTTTCTCACAAGCCCCATCTTGCAAAAAATACATCTTAGATATGCTATAATCATATTATAACAATATTTCTATGAAGAATATGGGGCGTAGATGGGCAGGAATGTCTTGCATGCTTTGAGAACTGCTCAAAGCCTAAGGTTGATATGTAGTCTGGATTCCTGTGGGGATCTGGCCATCGAGATACCCCCATGCTAGTAGGGAGGCATCTGTGATAAGAGTCTTTGTAGGTGGTATGGGAACAAAAGGGACCCCCACACATACTGTCTCTTTCTTTTCCCACCATGTGAACAATGTCAGTATGTCTTCAGGAAGAGAGAGCTTCTTGTCTAGAGAGCTTCTGCTTGGGGCATAGATTGTCCATAACTAGATATGAAGACATCACAGATGCAGGAGTGACACAGGAGAATGCCATCATGTAGCCTAACAGAACCAAGCAGATCAGGTTGTAGGAGGAGGGCTGAAATGAAGCTGGCTGATGAGAGCCTTCATGGCTAGGAATCAGTCCAGAGGTAAGTAGGCCCTTGCTGTGAGTAAAGTTCAGGTCTGCTCTAACGAACTGTATCGTTTTCAAGGATGTTAATATGAACTTGTCTAAATTGACTTGAAATCCTAGGGAATGAAAGAATTGAAGTGTGGCTGTGGTAATTGCCTGTATCTTTTGGCAGGACCAACCCATGAGCAGCCAGTTGTCCAGGTAAGGAAATCTCAGTCTCCCTTATCTGCGGTGACCACCACAACATTTTTTGTAAATACCGTTGGTGTCACTGAGAGACCAAAAGAGAGTGCCCTGTATTGAAAGTGCTTCTGGCCCACTGCGAAGCACGGGGACCTTTTGTAAGTTGGGTGAAGGTCCAAATGAAAATGTGTGTCCTTCAAATCAAGGGTCGTAAACCAGACAACTGAGATGACGGAGGGTAAGATAGAGACCAAGGTGGTCATTCTGAAGTTTCAGTGTCATATAAAGAGAGAACTTAGGAGGGCAGTGGTGCTGGGTGTCTACTCCATTGCATCCTCTGCCACTTCTTGGGAGGTTCATATGTCCTCTGATGGAAAAAGAATGGAGGCGATGAATGATGATGAGGCGGAGGAATCCTACGATACTTTCTCCAGGATGCCAGAGTAAAAATATCTAAAGAGTGGAGGGTAACACAAAAGTCTTTGAGGGTATGCAGCGACTCATCAGTCTTGTCACTAAATAAGTTGGTAGCCTCAAACAGGAAATTCTCAGCTGTGGTTTGGATCTCTTTGGGGAAACTGGAGGCCTGTAGCAATGAATCTCTTCTCATGACTATCGAAGTAGTCCTAGAGTGCGTCAGCCACATCAAGGGCACCTGGAGGGAAGTTTGTGCAACTAGCTTTCCCTCATCCAGGATGTCCTGGAATTGAGGTCCACATTCTTGAGGGAACTTGTTCACAAATTCTGATAGCTTATTGTAATGTAAAAAGTCATATTTGGACATTAAAGCATGTTAGTTTGCTCTCCAGAATGCTAAGGTAGCCAAGAAAAACAGCTTCCTTCCAAAGATGTGTAGTTGCGTGGTATCTCTGCCCGGGGGAGTGGACTTGGGCTGGTATAGCCGACTTGGTTCTGTAACTATATGCATCACCAGGGAATTGGGGTTAAGGAGGGAAAACAAAAATTCCAGTCCCTTGGGGGGAAAGAAGCAATGCTTCTGAGCCTGCTTTGGGGCTGGGGACTTGGATGCAGATGTATGCCAGACTACTCTGGGAGGTTCCATGATAGCCTCATTAATCATGAGTGCCATTTTAAAAAGAGCTGTAGCCTGAAATATGTCTAGGAGATAAGGGTTGCATTCTGGACCTCCTCCAGAGGAGTCTGGAGAGTGCTGCAATTCTCCCGAGAAGGTCTGCTACTGGTTACAATCATCTGGACACGAGGGAGACATTGGTGATACTGCCTTGTCTGGAGAGCAGGTGGTGCTGATTGATCCTCCTCCATCAGCTGCTCCCATGGAGATTACTATTTTGCCTTGCTGGGTGAGGAACTCAGGACCCTCATACTCAGGTGCCTGGAAGCATGGATCCCAGGAGCTCCATTAAAGTCAATGTGATGTGGAAGAGAGGTGATCCCCATGCTGGGTACCATTGGTCCCTGGTCTAGAATTACTGTTGACAAGACAGGGAGGTGGAGTTGATCTGGAAGCCATGTCCGGACTGATTGTCCTCTGTTGGCTATCTGAAGGGAATGACAGTACTGACTCATATTTGTCCGATAGGCCTCCTCGTGTTCCATTATTGGGGCTGGAGGTACCATGGGATCTGTGAGCTCCCATTACTGTTGCGGGGTTTTTTTTTCTGTAGGGGTTCCAGGTATGTCTGTTCCAGGGTACAGCATCTTCTAGCAGTGCTGGAGGAAGGGGCAAAGTGGGCCTCTTTTTTGAGGACATATGAGGGGATTTGTCCTGTTTCTGCTGGGGAAATTTGATCTTGTTTGTTTAGTGTCTCTACTTCATGAGGGTCGTGTATTTGGAAAAGGACTCCAAACTGCTGATACTGGATACTGGCGATGCACTGCCTGATGGTTCCAGGTGAGTGGGAGGGCCCCAGTTCTGAATGGAGCCTCATGGGAAGCTACACAAGGCGCTTGTGGAACCTGAAATCTTTTCTGGTACATGGAAGGAACGCATGGCAGATACTACACTTCAAGGGAATGTGAGTTTCCCCAAGGCAGTACAGACAAATTTTGTGAGGGTTGCTCACTGGGAAAACCCAGGGGCAGGCCAGGCAAGGTTTAAAGCCAGGCACTTTGGGCATAATTGATGCCCTGTAGAAAAAAGGGGGAATTAGAGGAGGAAGAGCCTTCAATCCCCAAATAACTAACTAGCACTAAAACTAAGCTAAGAATATTATTTTCAATAGTTAGACTCAACAAAGTCTAACACTGACAAGAAGAACAGACACAGGAGGTTCTGTCGCAGACTGTGAGCAGTAGAAGAGGAACTGGGAATGTGGGGTTGGTCTGTGCCACCCTTTATGCCCTCACAAGGAGGCACAGGGCATAGGCACACTGCTGTTAAAGAATTTCCAGTCCCGGATGCACACTGTGTGCACACACTCATCGTGGCTACCCATAGGGACCAGTGCTCAAAGAAGAACTTCCTGATATCCAAATATTTTTTTTCCAGTGGAGATTTCTAGGCTGCACAGCGGTTTCTTTCAATGTTCTGCAAGTGACCTGTCATGAAGATGAGGCTGTTTGATAAGTGGCCTTTCAGTAGGAGCTGTTCCAGAACAACCTGGGAAGAGAACTGGAGCTCTCATTCTGTTTAATATAAAATAACATAATGGAGGGTAACAGATCACTAGGAAATATCATGCCTGCAAACATGCAGATGTGGGGCCAGATTTTTGTCTACTAATGGGTGTGTAAGTTGGGGCAAGTCAATCCACGGAAGTCTCCTAGCGTGTGCCTGCACAGGGGACAGCTAGAATCTTGGTGCTTGCACTCCCAGAACACAAGGTGTGGGAGTATTAGTATAACCAGCAGTGCTAGACCCCCCAAAGGGGTTTTGTGTTGCGAGAGTCAGAAGGTTATTATAGATGAGCTCAAGCCATGAAGTTCAGTTTTAAATTTAAATCCCTCTCCACCAAATTTCAAGACTGTTTCAATCTGGGGGTTTGCTTTGGCCCATAATAGGATGGGGTTAACTGCAAAATTTGGATTGGATCTGGATTGTGGTGCTCCTCCCTCCAAAAGTGTGAACTGAGTTTGGTTCTGGAGGGTTGATTCTGGACTATCTGTAATGTTTGTACTGAAAAGTTGGGCTTTATCAGCTGAATAATGTCCAATTAGGTGTATCTATGTAACCTGCCCTCCTCCCCCTCTTCAGAAAATGAACAGAACTATCAAGAAAGGGTTAGGTTTAATCAAAGAACATCATGGAGATCCTGGAAGGCATGGAGCCTTCAGAAAATGCTTATTGCCATAGTGGATGGTAGTCTCCACTTAAGAGATGTCACAGAAAAATCACCTGGAGAAGCATAAGCCATCAAAGAGCTCCAGGATTGGGCAGTCCCTGCAGAAGATGCTAGGGGGCTCTGAAGGTGTGACATCTTTCAGGGAATGTTAAGGTGCTCCAAGATAGGTTGATTCCTTTTGGCTTATGCCATGGAGTTCAATGAGAGGGCATGAGGGGTTGGTCTCCTTTAAAAAATGCTACTGAGATCTGGGAAAAATGAACCCCTGAGAATGTTTCAAAGTTCTAGAATGCTTGTGTCCAATTTGAGGGATGGCAACATTGCATGCCATTCAGTTTGGTGCCTTGTAGAAGGACAAAGAAGGTACAGGGTGGGATCTAACCCCCAGCTATAGTACCTTCCCTTATCACAGGTAAAAGAGAGTTGCACAGAATGGCCATGCTGGAGTAATAAAGTAAATATTTCAGGGACTCCCTGTGCCCTATTCTAACCCCAAGACCACACACTGTTCCCTATAGATTTCTACGTGCAGAAATACTGAGGAGCAGTTGTAGGTGAAGTAAAACTCTTCATATGCTAAAACAGATAGGAATTTAATACAGAACATTTAAGAAAAAGTCTGAGTCACACAATGTACAGGAGTTTTGCTGCTATTTTATTGCTTTATGATGCCCTGGGTTTAAGGTTTCCACTCGATGACTTTGATGGCGATTTTTGCTGCTCTGCTTACAGCCTCACTGGAGTCATTCAGCTGCCCTCGAAAGAGGTCCACATGGTTCAGTAGTGTCTTGCGACCCTCAGGTGCCTCAGACAGCATGGTCAGGGCTTTGATTGCATTCAAGCGTACTTTGCTGGTTTCATCATCGACCAGCTTCAGTAAAGGTGGAATGGCATCTGCACTAAGGGCTGCATATTTCCCTGAGCAAAAAATAATTGGACTTAAAATTTGTTATTGAATATAATCAAATAACCACTTAACAAGCCTGAACCTGTTAATAAACCATGACCACACACTAGAATGGGAGCTAGCTCCATCTCCACTCTGGTTCTAGATTTTGAACATTTCAATATTTGGTAGTGCTGATGGCTTTGGGTTTTGGTTCAGCCCATCTCTGCTAGAGACCACAATAAACCTCCATTTTTTTATTCTTAAGAGAGCAATCTCACTACTTAAGTTAACTCCCCCTACTTTCCACATTTTATTTATTTTACTTTGAAAAGAATCATGTGGATCTCAAGAGACACCAAATGATAAGAAAAAATTTCTCAGGGCAAATGTCCTCAGGAGCGCCCTCCATTCTTTTCTTTTCTAAGATATTCTGAGTAAATACTTAAATCTACTCCTGTATCATCTTCCAGAGCAAGGGGGGCATTTGCAGTGGTATGCAGAGGAGGACTGAAACACAATTACTGTTATTAAGGATTCTTGTATGTCCAATTACATGTTCAGCACACTGAAAAGTTACCCGTTAGTGTTTTCAAAGTCATGGATCTGACATTGATGAGAACTCCCTCCGCCCCAGTAGTGGGGAAAACGGTACCTTTTAAACACACACACAAACTACAGGAAAGTAATGGAAAACTTAGGCACTCCTGCTCTCAGCTAAGGATTGCAGGTTCAAAGCATTCCGAGGACAGTTGCTGGTTGTGGGACTCTAACCTAGCAGCACCTTTGAGGGAGGGTGGTGCTATAACCATTACTTGTCCTCTGCCAGAAAGAATCTTCCCCAGGCACAGGTAGGCCTGACATATATTTCCCTGAGCCAGTGGAGGTGGATTAAACCAACTATATTGCAATACCTAGACACTATGGGTGAACAAAGTAGCTGAGGGACAGACCTAATGAAATGTCCTGTTTCTGCTAGTTTCTGCAACAACTTTAGCCTTATCTGAACCTAGATTTTTTTCAATTTATCTAAGAAAGTTATGAAATAAAACTGTCAGCTGATCAAATGGCACTAGTCTGATAGCAGAATGAGGAATGCTCTGCTTTACAGGAAGTATCCCCAGCAGGAGCTGCTTCTCTCACCTTGGGTCGTAATGGTGGCATTCATCAGTGCTCCTGCTGCATTGGCTCGGACCTCAGAATCTGAATCCTCCAACAGGCTGACCAGCACTGGGATAACCTCTTCATCCCACACAATATTTTTTCCTTCCAGAGGGATACTGAGGAAGAGAGAAGGTTAACGTGCTTTCTTGAACCTATGTCAACAATCAGTACAACTGACTACAGCCTCCTACCATTTCCCCCCTTCATTTCATGACGAGAATGCTGATGCAGAATTCTCTTCTGTTCTGTTTGGAGCCAGATTATTCTGAATGTTAGAGGGCACTTTAAACACCCATGCCAGAGTTACAAATCGGACAAGGGAGAGGTCAGTTTGTGGTAGAGTGGTTACTGTTGAAACTACATGCTCAATGCATAGGAAAGATAGGAAGTATGGCAAGAAACCACCCTGGCTTAATCAGGAAATCTTCAATGATCTGAAACTCAAAAAAGAGTCCGACAAATTACAAAGGGTGAATATAAATAAATTACACAAGTATGTAGGGACAAAATTAGGAAGGGCAAGGCAAAGAACAAGATTAAACTAGCTAGAGACATAAAGGGTAACAAGAAAACATTCTACAAATATATTAGAAGCAAAAGGAAGACCAAAGACAGAGTAGGCCCGTTACACAAGGGGGGGGGGAGGGAACAATAACAGAAAATGTGGAAATGGCACAAGTATTAAATGACTTTTTTGTTTCAATTATCACCAAAAAGGTTGGCAGTGATTGGACATCTAACACAGTAAATGCCAGTGAAAATGAGAAGGATCAGAGGCTAAAATACGTCACCAGGGCCTGATGAAATGCATCCTGGAATACTCAAGGAGCTGACTGAGGAGATATCTGAGCCATTAGCAATTATCTTTGAAAAGTCATGGAAGACGAGAAAGATTCCAGAAGACTGGAAAAGGGCAAATATAGTGTCAATCTATAAAAACGGAAATAAGGACAACCCGGGGAATTACAGACCAGTCAGCTTAACTTCTGTACCTGGAAAGATAATGGACCAAATAATTAGGCAATCAAGTTGTAAATATCTAGAAGATAATAAGGTGATAAGTAACAATCAGCATGGATTTGTCAAGAACAAATCATGTCAAACCAACCTGTTAGCTTTCTTTGACAGGGTAACAAGCCTTGTGGATGGGGGGAAGCAGTAGACGTGGTGGATCTTGATGTTAGTGAAGCTTTTGATACTATCTCGCGTGACCTTCTCATAAACAAACTAGGGAAATGCAATCTAGATGGAGCTACTATAAGATGGATGCATAACTGGTTGGAAAACTGCTCCCAGAGAGTAGTTATCAGTGGTTCACAGTCAAGCTAGAAGGGCATATCAAGGGGGTCCCTCAAGGATCAGTTCTGGGTCCAGTTCTGTTCAATATCTTCATCAGTGATTTAAAGAATGGCATAGAGAGTACACTTATAAAGTTTGCGGATGGGATTGCAAGTGCTTTGTAGGATAGAATTAAAATTGAAAATGATCTCAAGAAATGGTCTGAAGTAAATAGGATGAAATTCAATAAAGATAAATGCAAAGTAGTTCACTTAGGAAGAAACAATCAATTGCACACATACAAAATGGGAAATTACTGCCTAGGATGTAGTATTGTGGACAGGGATCTGGGGGTCATAGTGGATCACAAGCTAAATATGAGTGAACAGTGTAACACTATGGGGGGGGAAGCAAACATCAATCTGGGATGTATTAGCAGGAATGTTGTAAGCAAGACACGAGAAGTAATGCTTCAGTTTTACTCTGCACTGATTAGGCCTCAACTGGAGTATTGTGTCCAGTTCTGGGGTGCCACATGTCAGGAAAGTTGTAGACAAATTGGAGAAAGTCCAGAGAAGAGCAACAAAAATTATTACAGTTCTAGAAAACATGACCAATAAGGGGAGATTGAAAACATTGGGTCTGGAGAAGAGAAGACCTGGGGTGGGGGGGCATAACAGTTTAAGTACATAAAAGGTTGTTACAAGGAGGAGGGAGAAAAAAATTCTCCTTAACCTCTGAGGATAGGACAAGAAGCAATGGGCTTAAATTGAAAAAAAGGCCTTTTAGGTTGGACATTAGGAAAAACTTCCTGTCAGAGTGGGTTAAGCACTGAAATAAATTGCCTAGGAAGGTTGTGGAATCTCCATCATTGGAGATTTTTAAGAGCAGGTTAGACAAACATCTGTCAGGGATGGTCTAGATAATATTTAGTCCTGCCATGAGTGCAGGGGACTGGACTAGATGACCTCTCGAGGTCCCTTCCAGTTCTATGATTCTATATAGTAGTATAGCTCATGGAGGTATTTTGGTGATACTAGCAGTGAGCACTGGGGTTGGGTGCCTATATTTCCACAGCCATTTGCCTTTAAAGCCAGAAGCCAAGTGTTCATATTATCTAATACTCTAACTGTTAAATGTGGTGCCTCACAAATGAGATAAAATACAGGGTCCTTGCCTTGATGCAGGCTTGTAGTTGAACTCTTGGGTTTGACTCACTAAAAACTCTTATTGGTTTACTCTGTGGATGATGAATTTAAGACTTAAATAAAGAGCCACAGGATGATTCTGAATGCACAGATCTCATTTCTTTAAGAGGATCTGCCATATTGTAGCTCCCTATTCAGCATGTGTTTGGGCTGAACTTAGCATAGTAGTTTTCATAAACAATGATGCCATTTCCATGGAAGATTATTATATTGAACTGTATTACATCATAGTGACCAAATATGTTATCCTTCACCATACTGCACGGTTCTGTTAACAACAACTTGCATTTATATTGTGTATTTTACTCCAAGGATTGTGAAATGCTTTACTGACTTAACTAACTGATATACAAAGTATACACAGGAATGTTTTATCCATTGAAATGCAGCCACTCTAGGATAAAATATAGCAACTGTTTAACCTAACATAGTAACAAATGACAAAGTTTATAACAGGAGATGAAGAATGCTGTATCCAACTGAAAATTTAGGTAGGTAAAAAATAATTAGTTTATTCTAACATTCCTCCTCTTGCAAAAAGTTATTATGGGATCGATCTGGTGATCACAAATTATCAGGATTTTGGTTCTACACTGTCTCATATACAAAACGGTACATCCAGCAGTGCTGCAGTGCTTAGCACCATGCAGGGGCATTAGCTCACTATGAATGTGAGGGGCAGGGGTGGGAGGGAAGAGTGCCATCTACTGAATCACCAACACCAGAGCAGCTAAGTCCACGTACACATCTAGCCTGATGTTACTTTGCAATGTGAGATGTGACAAGTTTAAAGTGTAAGGTGGTACAACTGCAAACTAGTGTCCGGGACTCAATCAGTAGACAGATATTGTCTTGGAACAATCCATGTGCACAGTCCTTTCTTCCCCTTACCTAATTCCCAAGAGGGCACGGGCAGCTTTGCTCCTGATGGCCACTGATGGATGAGTGAGCTTTTCCTTCAGAATGGGAACAGCGCCTGTTGCAAGAGCTTCAAAAGCCTCTACACATAGGCAGCCGCAGAGTGTGTCCAGTATCAACTCTTGGATTTCATCCAGCTCAGTTTTCAGTTTAAGAACAAGTGAAGAAATCAAACTGCTTTCCACTATGCCAACAGCACCTGCAGCCAGAGACAGAAAGGAAACTTGGACTGAAAGTGCTAAGGCATTTAATGCTTCAATCAACATTTTGAAATTTGCTACCACGATTAAAATGACCCAGCTATTTCTGTCCCCATAATAGTGTGGTGTTAAGAGAGATGGAGACTGTTGTAACTGTGGACACTTTACCAGCACTCCTCCAACATTTCCCCAGGATTTATTTGGCAAATTTCACCTCTATTTGCAAACTGTAAGCAGTTTATAGTTTTCTCAAATGTATTCTCTTGCAGAGTCATTCCCTTCAACCTTATTCTGTCCAGCATCATTTGCTAAGAGAGGCAACACATTATCTACTGCCACAGCTCATGCTTGTTCCTACAATGATTTCAACCCAGGTGAGGCTCAAGTTAACAGTTGCTCTGATGTTCCCAATATCCACAAGTGCACTATTTTGTCCCTATAATAACTCCTGCTGAGAGATTACAGGAGTGGAATAGCTGTGTGCTCCCTGTCACGGAGTGTGAGGGGACACAAGGCTCTGCACCCCCGGCTTCCTGCGATTTACTATGACTCTCAGCCAGTCAGTAAAGCAGAAGGTTTATTTAGAGGACAGGAACACAGTCCAAGACAGGTCTTGCAGGTACAGACAACAGGATCCCCCCCCCCAGTTAGGTCCATCTTGGGGTCCCAGGGCACCACAGCCCCCTTGGGAGGTCAGAGCCCTGTCTGCCTCCCAGCCATTCCACCAGCCAGCTCCTGAAACTCTCCCTTCAGCGCCCCCTCCCACAGCCTTAGTCTATTTTCCAGCCCCAGCACACAGGCCAGTATCAATGTGGTTCAATGGCTATAAGTTCATAT